CCATTCAACCCAAAGCCCGGGACCCCACCTAGAAGGAAACAAAAAAAAAGGGGCTGCTTCCCCCTCTCCCACAAAGACGTTAACTTGTGTGCAGACTTTTTTTCATCTTACTTGTCATTTAGGTTAAACTTTAAGGAAAACTTGCAGGAATGTGACTGGGGACAAACCTGATGGTCATGAGTTGAAAAATAATTCTGTGAGTTAAAAGCATAAATGTAACTTACTGTTAAAGTTGCGTGTCTGTGTGTATTCGTACACACTCTATATGGCAGTTGGTTTTTAAAACTTTTTATAATGGCAGAAGAATCTTTTTCTTTTAAGTTAAGTTCTGTGCAATAACCAACTATATAAACGGATAATACAAGAGGGGTCAACAGTTTGAAGCTGCTGCACCCAGGGAGTGTACTCTGGGGCTACGGTTCGTAAGGACAGAAGCAGGTACAGTCAAAGTAGAAGACAGCAACTTGGTACCTCAACTCCTCACGCACAGGTGGGGACCCAGGGCAGCAAATCCTCAGTAATGCCATGACAACACCTGTCCCGCCAAAACTACCACTGCTGAGAAGCACCAAGGGGCCACGAAGCCCCGCCACCCGGGACAACACAGCCAGACCCCCGACCCACCGCTCGCAGACCGCGCTGGCTGACCGACTGGGAAAGCACTTACCTCCAGACGAGCGCTGCAGCCACCGAGCACTGCGATCCGAGAAGACATTCCTCTGGACAGAGAAGTGCTGCTTGGTCCCAGGCTGGTTTCTTCACACGGGGCTCCAGACCACTGGTGTTAAGCGTACAGGACAACATCAAACGGGAAAGCCCCCACAGAACAGTGAACTAACTCAGTGACCCAACAGGTGAACCTCACTTTACTCCATGAGGGGAAGCAGAGAATGACCCTGTAACTGCAGTTTTAAAGTAATTTAAATGCACTAGGGAAGCTCAGAGTTATAGGAAACATAGAAGAGTCCTTTGCAAAGCCACCTTTCCCCTCTTTGATTGATCTCTTGTCTAAACCAGTCAGGGGGTTCTTCAGTGAGGGGCCTCAGTTGCCTAAGGAGCTAGTAAACCCTCTGAAATAACACACACAACCTTGGGTGTATGTGCGTTCCGGTGTCGGGGAGAGGGTCCAGGGCTCCCATTATGCTTTCAGAGGACCCCGTGTTCCCAGAAAGGTTAAGAACCACTGTACCAACAGCCGTCTTTTTGTTACTCTATTTACCTTACGGACCTTTCATTGACATTTGGTTGTTAGATATTTATTCCAGGCTTTCAAATTGATGCACAAAGACAAGAGGAAGCACGGGACACTGTCACTGGTTCCAAGCATTAACCTCCAGGGTCACAGAGCCCACCCTCTCCACCACTTTAAATGCCCCACCACACACACCCAGGGTAAACACAGCCCGTGCCATCCCCTCTCACGTACGTCTCTCTCAAGCAGGCTCTGACCTCACAAGCAGGTTGGGCATACATGGATGCTACCGCACCAAGCCAGTAGGATAGCGTTTTCTCCATATTCTGAAACATTACGTTTTCTTGTCCTCTGGACCATGGGTAAAATAAGCCCCTCCTGCCAAGCACTCAGTCTCTAAACTCAGGACTATGTAGTCAACTGTAGAGAGATGCCAGGAGTCAGAAGTCCACTCCACCCACACCAGTCCTCAGCGCGGCACATGAGCCCCCACCTCCATGGCTCCTCTTTGGCATGAGGCTCAAGCAGGTGACAGGAGCCGTACAGACCTCTACCGTCGGTTCACGGAGCTATCATCTGGTCTGGTGCAAGCTAAGAGTCTAGAGCACAAACTTCCTCTGTGCCACACACTACAACTTTATGAAGCAGCAACTATTACCCCAATTCAGAGATGAGAAAGCTGACAAAGGCTGAGTGAGTTGCCCCAACCACTGAGCTGGTAGGTAGCAATGTCCACACTTGAACTCACCACCCCATCCCAACCTCCCTGCTGAGATGCAACTGGCATGTCAGGTCCCAACCCTGGATTCAAATACATTCTCAGCTCCTGCAGAAGCGAGTGGGCAAATGGATTCCGTGACATGAAGGCACAAGGACACATCACCACCACCAGGCGGTTACCAGTCACCACCACAAAGCCACCTAACCTAACCACAACTTCAACCACACTTTGATCGATTAGCAGCACCGCAAAATTACAGCTTGGACTGCCCCAAAACGTGTTTCACCACACAAAACCTACATTCTTCAATTCACAGAAAATAAATTAATGAATATGTATTTTAATTAACCTTTACTTCTAGCATTTATTTTCTTACCTTAGGCTTATTTATATGCTAAGATAGTTTCCGATAAGCACAAAAATGCGATACATATTTTAAGAACTCCAGCTAAGTCTGAAGACTTTAACTGAGAGATCAACCCCTGTGGTCTGCCATCCACTGAGGCTCATCAACCAGCATCAGACCCCACATTGTGCCAGCCCCTCCCTCACTGCCGTCCCACTGCTAGGTAGAAAGGTGCTTTTCAAGGTCGGAACTGGTCACCCTCCCCACAGATCATCAGCCATTTAGGAACCCCAGGCAATCTCAATCTCAGTGAGGCAGGTGGGGCAAGCAGCAGGAGGGATGTCACAGTTCATGGCTTTGATTCACAAGCGATAAGTATCCTCATCACTTTCATTGGATTTCTGCTTCCAACCCACACGGTGTTAAGTTCACCAAATCACACACACAGTCTAACGACCAGCAACACCAACAAGTTGTGCCTCTGAGACTAAACTCACAAAAAAACTCCGCAAACAAGAATGTTAAATCCAGTGCCAGGTGAGATGAGACAGGTGCCTGCCCCCAACCTGACCTTCCTCCCACCTGGCGGGGCAGCTGCAGAAGAGGACCGAGACCACAAGTGCAGGTTGTACAGGTTTATTTTTCCAAGACCACAGAGACATACAAGAGCAGTGCTTGTCCTGGCAGACCAGTTCCCAACTGTCCCCTAGAGTGGTCCCAAAGGTCACAGCAGAAGAGGATCAAACACACTTGGGCCTCTGCTCCCTGTCTTTGGTAAACAGACTCTTGAAGCTGACGACTTGGACTTGGCCAATACTGCAATGAAATCACCACATCATTGCCAACTTCCCACTCATGCTTTAGATGACAAAAATGCCACATGGGATGAAAAGGGCGGGGGGGAGACCCTTCAGATGAAATGAGACTTGCTGAAGTTATACCAATTTTCTACTTCACACAGAAGCACTCACACAGTGAGACCTACGTTAAACAAGGACGACGCTCGACTCTGCAGCAAGTCGGAGGACGAGACATAAGGCAGGAAGCAGGGCGAGGGAAGACAGCTGTGGAGACATCTACTTTCCGGAAAGGTGTGGGAGAGAGGCAGGAAGCAGGCACGGCTGTCTCTTCCTCCACCTGCTGTCAAAAGTACGTCCAGTGGAGCCTGTGGCCCCAGAAAAGCATGGTCCCAGGTACCGCTGACAGGTGGTGACCCTGGAGCTGGGTCTGGAAGGCCCACCTGGGGGCTTCCCAGGGCACTCACCCTTCATCCAGAAGCAATGAACACACTGATGGTGGTGACTTGTCACATATGGCAGCCAGTGAAGGTTGCAGGAGAAGAGATGGGAGGAGCAAGATGCATCCGCTCAGCAGCTGGCGGCCAGGCTGACCACGGCTCTGTAAGCTGCAGCAGGCCCACCAGGTGACCTGGGACAGGGCAAGTCAACCACTCCACCCCTCACATCAGTCGGGCAGCACAGCACGCAGTGGCTCTGACACAGGTGGAGAGAAGTCAGTTACACCACTTTAATGCAATGATGCCGAAGACGTAAAATAAGGGAGACGTTCGTGTTCTCTGTACAACACATCCATTTACAGAATCGGCCAGTACTGTGTACAACATATAAATACATGATAAAACATTAGAGGTGCATAGAGCATACTTACAGAAGCCAAAAGTTCACTTTATACATCCAAGGATAAAGAGTTAAAAATATAAAAATAAGAAAAACACACTGCTTTGAAATGTAAAATGACTTTCACATACACAGGTGTGTGGAGATGCCCACTCCCAGAGTCCAGGGTGACGGAGAGGGTGTCAAGCAGAGGAATTCTCAAACGTCTGGACATCTGACTCACAAGGAGGAAAGACAACCCTATGCCCGACCCGTCGTCCAAGCAGGTCTATTCAAGGTTCCGAAAGCTCCTGTGGGTCAGTGGATCATACAGAGGCAGGAAAGTCCCAAGTTGGCTTCAGTAACAGAACCGAAGGTCAAACTGGCTCCATCAACTGCAAATGACTGAACTGTGACCTGAGGTCAGCAGGTGCTTAAAGCCCCCTGGTGGGCACTGCTGGCAGTTACTTGAACCCTGTGCTGGCTTCTTTCCCATCAATTCCCCAGGAGTAGCAGGAGGAAAGACGGCAGGGAGGGGGCAGTGGAAGACTGACATTCCTACTCAGTTCAGTAAGTGAGTCCCCTGGTGGAGAACACAACCTTCCCGCTTCAGTGTCAAGTCCCTCTAGGTCTTGAGGAGGCTCCTCACGCCGCACCAGGCTCTGAGGCTCTGACGGTCTGTGTGAGAGCTCGGGCCGCCGGCCTTGGGCAGCCCCATGAGTGGCCCTATAGGAAACCCTTCCAGCAAGATCGGAAGGTCCGACAAGTGATGGAGGGGCTTTAGCACTATAAATTTTAGAGAGGCAAGACTTGCCTAGAGAGACAGTCTATTTTATCAATGATATTGTGTATACAGATTTAAGATCAATCATTATCAAAATACACACACTAAATATACAACTTTTCCCATGGCCATAATTTATTATCTCACCACAAGGCACAATACACAGAGCTTTGAGGGTCCAATACAGTCATCGTGACAGAATGCACCACAGCCCTGGCACATGATCATGGCTTTCAGGCTGCAAGCACACTGGAGCGAGATGCTTTCCACCGTACTGCTATCGGTGAACATCTGCAAGGAAAGTGATGCACTGTGGCTCGCACCAAAGTTTGCTTTGTGGCTCAGCTGCACCACACTTCCAGCAAGGCCTTTGGGAAAGGTGGGGGAGCTGGAGGAATAATTAAAGCTGGTGGAACTTAGTTGGAGTTTGGAAAGCTTCCCGTAAAATGCCTGTTTGATGTTGAGTTGGGAGGGTATGGAAGAAGGCTCCAGAGGCTGAGTGAGCCCTTTCCCAGGCTCTCGGGGTAATTTCCAGAAGGGCAAATCAAGGACAAAGGGCATCCCTTGCAAGTGGTCCACCAGTTCCCGAGGACCAGGCCCCACTGCATTTCTGTTCTCTGCATTCGCTTTGAGAGGACCCCCACCAAAAGTCTTCTCGCTCTTAGTGCTGCCAACAGAGACGGGTGGTGGCTTTGGAGCCCAGTCTTCCCTGGCAGTCTGGACCCCACCAGACACAGAGTTTTTGCTTGGCCCCAACTTCCTACTGGGAAAACTGGGAGGGGCACCAGCGGGCAGTGGCGTGGGCTCCACAGGCCTGGAGCACTGAAGGGCTGCAGCCTCGGTCTTGGAGCCAAAGAGCTTCTTCCCTTGGCCTCTAGCACTGTTCTGATCACCCAGGGCTCGACCTGTCTGTTTGGGATCCGAGGAGATCACATTTGGAGATGAGAAACCAGGGGCTCTCGAGGTAGTGAGGTTTCCTGGGGCAGCACGTGAATTACTGCCCTGGGACAGGTCATGGGCTTCCAGCCGATCTTCAAAACTAAAGAGAGAGAGCTGCCCTTTGGAATCCACTTCTACTTTCCCAGAGGCAGCTGTCGGATTTGTCACTGGATATAGTGAGTCTACGCTTGGGACTGTCTTGGAAATTTTGGGGGGTGCTCCAGGAGCCTGGGTGGCAAGATCGGTGCTTGCTTCACAGCTCTCAGGTAGGAGAGACTCCTTTGAAGCTCTTAAAGAGGGGGGGCTGCTCCGGCCAGCTCTGCAGCTGTTTCCCCCAGGGTCTTGCAAACATCCCATCCTCAGGGAGCCACCACGGCCCTGCTCTTTCGTCAGTGGGAGTCGTGGGGATTCGGGTTTGCTGCCACCGTGGGCTGGAGGAAGAACCTTCTCCAGGGGCAAGCTGCCCTGCAGCAACTGCATCACAAGTGGGTTCGTGGCCTCCACTGAGGACCCAGGCCTCCCGAAGGGACAATGGCCTTGGCTGGTACTCGGTACTGGCCAGTAGCAGGGAGTCCGGGATCTTTTGAGGAACCGCACAGACTCGGGACACCCAGCTCTGAGGAACAACCATCCCATCTGTCCTCGTGACCAGGCTCAGGTCACCGTTCACCTTGGAGAGTGAGGCAGAGCAGCGCCAGTCCTGTTTCTCATCCCGCTCCACCGCCAAGGACCTCTTCTTCACTGTGGCTTCACCAGGGTCAGCCTCACTGCTGTCCTCAGAGAGGTGACCTTCAAAGTCAGAGGCTGTGTCTGTGGACTCGCCGTGAGGACTCAGTGCTTCAGAGTCTCCATTGATTCTCAGCTTTTCAACCTCCAGCTGTTTGCAGTCACTGCCAGTGCTGTCAACACACCCTTGAGATGGCACCGTCCAGAGCTGTCCAGAAGGGTCCAGGCCGTCCTCAGCAGTCAACCTCATAGGCAATGCCGGCACGAGGGGAGCAGCTTTCTCCCACTCCTCTCGGACCTGGGGCTCAACAGATGGGACGTCATCTCTGGAGTCAGGATCAGGCCGCCCCACTGCCTTATCACTTAACAGGGGAGGCACCCAAGGAGCAGCACCGGTGGAGTCGAGAGCCTCGGTTTTCAAGTTTTCTTGCCTAGTAACACTTTCCCTCGAGGGTGGGCCTGAGTCACCAAGTCCTGATTCATCATCAAACTGCCTGTCTTGCAGGCAACCAGCCAGTGATGATTTGGGGATGGAACTGGGGGTCACAGTCACAGGATCCTTCATGGTGGGACTACTGCCACGGTCTAGAGCCTGGCAGGTTCCTTCTTCTAATACAACATCCCCTGCTAGAGACTGAACAGGCCCATTCTCTGGGGGGATAGTGGGTCCTCGCTCTTCATTATCTCCTTCCCAGGAGGCAGTACCAAACCCACATTCAGTTCTACCATCTAGATGCAACACAGGTTGTTCAGCTGCTCTCTCAGCTGCTGGGGTTTTGGAGGACAGTGGAGGCAAAGCCTGGCATGGCTGGTCCCCAGTGGGAGCAACGGGAAGTGGGGAGGTATCTTCCAGCGCACTTGTGAGGACATCTGGAACCCTCTGCAGCGGGCAGCTCTTCTCCCTTCTGAGAGGAGCCAGGTCCTCTCTGCAGGCTCTGGATACAGCAACTCCAGCCTGGGTGTGCTCCCCATTTAGAGGACAAGGCGGCAGTAGTTGTGTTCGCTGTAGATCTGACGCACACTTTCCAGAGGTGCTCGGGGCTCCCCTGGGCTCAGGGTGGCCACGGGCCTCACCACCATCACCACTGCTGCTGTCTCTGCCACCTCCCTCATCGGTGGCCCCGCCGCCACCTCCACCCGGGCCACCCCCCCCTCCGATGGCAGTGGTGGCCGCCTCTCGATGGCAGTGGTGGCCTCTCGCCCCTCGGACCTGCAGAGCACGGGCTTTAATGTCTGCAAGGGTCCTGGCGCCAGTCCAGCCCCGGCAGGAGGACTCCGTGATGGGGATGATGCGGGGGCATATCTGGTAAGTGGGCTGACCTTTAACCACCCAGGGTGGTTTGATACGTGAAAGTTGAATCTGCAAGAGAAGAAGAAAACAGTTTTAACTGACTGAGTGCTCTGATCTAGGAACTGTACAGCTAAGTGGGGAATCTAGTAGCTTAGGGGTCATGGCCTAGAGAATCAAATCATTCTCCATAAAAATGAAATCATCATGGTAAAACAGCTGTCCAAGACACCACCCATTCTGAGAAGATTCTGCTCAAGGGCTCTTACACGCCACACTTCTAAATTTAATTTCTGGTGGGACTGTGTGAAGACTTTAAAACCCTAAAGGATTCTGACCTCTAGAGGTAACTTCAACCGAGTGACCAAACAAGAGAGGAAGAAAAGAACCTTATCCCCGATATTCAAGTCAGCCTCAAGAACGGCTCTCTTGGAGAGCACTACACTCCCACATAACTGACACAAGGACCCAGGGCTTTCTGTCCCTGCCAAGGGGCTCCTCAAAGGGGACTGGGCCCAGGGCAGCTAGGAATCAAACAGCCTCCTACCCGGATGGGCGGGACTTTGGGCTCCTCTTTGGTGGGCTGTGGCTTTTCGGTGTGAACACTTTCAATTGTGTTACGAAAGGACTGACGATCTTCAAGCCGGGGCTTCTTTTCGGGAAAGGATGCAGAGGCCGCCTGCTCAAAGGATTTCCTCTTCTGATCCTTGGGTTCCAGATCCACAGCTTCCTGAGGCAAGCTGAGAACTCTGTCTGGAGACGCAGAGACACGTGCCAGGTCGTCTGGATCAGACTGGATCCGCGAAGCTCCAGTCTCCGCCAGGAATTCGGGACTCTCTGGGTCGGGTGCTGCAGAGGATGTGCCAGGGGGGTGGGGACCACCCGCCCCTGCTGAGTCTTTCTCAGCCTCCCCATCCTTGTAGAGGGGCATGTCTGGTGCCACAGACTGTGTGTCCTTAGCAACCTCTGCTTGCTCTGGCTCCTGCTTTTTGTACAGATTCCTTCGGGCTCTGGTTCGGAGATCTGGCCGGGAGCGTTTCTTGAAATGCCCATCTCGTTGCCGGGTGGCCGGACCACGCGGTGGCCGTGTTGATTCTCCTGGGACACGCAAGTCACTCTTAATTTCAGCCTCCCCCTGGCCCACATTCTGCTTCAGCGACTCTTCTTTGGTCAAACCCAACCTGCAAATCCAACGCACATCATCAGTTACAGGGCAGAGAGGGCACGTCTATTTTATTTCCATGAATAATATACACCCAGATATCAGCTATCTTAGAACAAAAAAACCCTGCATGGTCTGTGACACTGACCATAGGAAAACCTCTGTCAGCTTCCCTGTGATGGCATTAGGCAAATGAGCCAAGTGTCATGCAATACCCACATGCCTGTGCAACACAGCAGCGAGCATGACACTGAACGTCAGCCCCTACCCCCTCAAGCCAGACCAGGGCTCAGGGCGCCAAGTGCCTTACTTCTGTCCGTAGTAGTCTTCAAAGAACTTTTCTTTCCATTGTTCCACCTTCTTTTCCTTCTCCATTTCCTGTCGTATCCTGACTTGCATCTCATGAGTGAACTCGCCTAGAGAGAAACCAAACAGTGGTGAGTTTGGATGTTAAGGTCTGTCTTGTGAAAAGCCAAATCCTGCAGTTCTACCACGTCAGGAGTTTTCAAAATAACATGTGACTCTGGTGAGTTTGGAAATCTTTCTCCACCCTCGCTGGCTCCTATCTCCTCTAGAGGGTCTCTGACATCATGCTCTTCCTCAGCACAGAACTAACAAGTTTACTACAAGGGAAGTGTACTCTTCCCTTGGGTAATTGGTCCTTCAACAGCAAGCAATGCATTGATCAAAAAAGCGAAACAGAAACAAACAAACAAGAGTAACATTCTGACTCCCCGTGCAGGAAAAAGTCAACACAGCAGGCCTAAAAAGGCCTGCTGACAAGGTGGGCCCTCAGCTGACATCTGGGAACTTACTTAGTTCAGGAGGATTCCCATCCCCCTAACTGACAGGAACGGCTCACTGTGCCGAAACAGTTTATGCACACAAGATGGTTTATAGTGAGCACCTGCCTTCCTTTGGGGACTCTGGAATTTGGGGATGTGCCAGGCAGAGGTTTCTGACATAATGAGCTCCCATAAAAACCCTAGGCACTAGGTCCTTAACGAGCTTCCCTAGGAGACTACATCTCACACGTGTGGTCAAAGTCCTTGCTGAGGGAACTGAGGACATCCTGTGTGACTCCACTGGGAGAGGACTTGGAAGCTTGCACCTGGCTTCCCTGGACGTTACCCCAGACGTCTTTTCCCTCTGCTAATTTTGTTCTGTGTTCTTTCACTGCAATGAATGACAGCCGTGAGTACGACTATATGCTGAGTCCCGTGAGTCCTCCTAGCAAATCATCGAACCTGGGGAGGGTCTTGGGGACCTCCCAACGCTATCCCCACAGAGCTTCCCCACAAAATCGAATTAAGAGCAATCACTCCCAGTGGTAAGAACTCCTAAAAAGACAGAGCACCTGGGGGAACTTCACATGCAGGTCAATGCCATGGTGCACTTTCGTCCACCCACCCAGAGAATGCCATGGTTACTGGAAAGAACAGGAGACTGCAGTTTTAACAATGAAGAGGCAACACAGATGACTATACACATAAAAAACAGTAAAAGCCCAAATACTCTTGTGCCTCCTTTAGCGGTACTGAGCACATTCACACCCACTGTATCTACTGGAGGAAAGCCTGCCTTATACTAAATAACCCTTGAAAAAAAAATCACTGAAAAATGACTGTTCGGGTTTTAACTACCAGATGAGTGACACCACACATGGAGAGCACCTCTTAAGCCACTGAGATGAGAACGTCTACTCACCATCAGCCAGGCGTTCCCGCCAGCTCTGAGCCGCGTGGGTGAAAAACTCGTTGTTCAGTGCGCTGCTGCTGAGACGCAACAGGCCATCTGTTCCCGCCTAGAAGGATCAAGAAACAAAACCCCATAAATAAACAAACTTAGAAAGAGAAGAGAAGCCTGCCCAGAGAGAGGCAAAGAGGAAGCTGCGCATCTGCACCTGTCTGTCCACTTCAGGCAGGAGGCAGAGGAGCTGCTGCTGGAAGTGGGACGGCAGGGCGTGGAAGGTCCGGGAGTTGATCAGGGCCCGGAGGTTGGTGTTGACAAGAATGGACCCAGGCGTCTCAAAGTCGATCTCTTCTCCTCTGTTGCGCTTCATTGGACCTGTGATTTTTGAAGCAGTAAGAAGCAACGTATAGATTTTCAGCTTAATTAAAAAAAAAAAAAAAAAAAACAAATGCCAACTAAGGGAAAACTTTGGTGGCAGCACCCACGCTACCCAGAGCTTATCTGCACATGATCTGCTGAATCGCCCAGTCCACCCTAACCTATCGGTTACTATTATTCTTTTGCTACCATAAACCTTAAGAGAACACTTGGGCTTGCATCCTCTCAGATGAGACTGCACCATGCTGCGTCACAGCCTGAAGAGGATACTCTACCCACAGAAAGCCAGGCAGGGGACAGGCTCTGAGCTTCCCTCCAAAGCTGGAGAACAGGCTCCACAAAATCAACGGGAGAAATGATGGAAGTTGTCTAAAAGTGAATCTAGTGAGTGTCCAACAGAAAAATCTGCAGAAGCCTTCTGTGAACGGGCTGGAGAGGTATGACCGCCATGCAGAAAGGTACTAAGGGTTGTTTAAAGTCCACTGAAATGTCAATACCTCTCACAAAAGCCCAACAAATGGAAGAGAGACCTGTGAGACTTTGAGATTGAGCACTGCTGATGAGCTGGAGAAGCTACACGACAGCAAACCTAGATGCCACTTGGGCAATGGTTTAGTCTAACTTTCAGAAGCCAAGGTTTCGTCTTCTTAATGGTTTCATGTGGCCCATCTACAAAAAACCAGCATCTGGGCTTTGAGAATTAAATCCTGGAATAGCAGACAGCATACTAGCCTTGCAAATAGCCCTGCTGGGGATGGGAGGTACACACTACTGAATTTGTCTGCATTCCCCAAATTCAGCATAGGCTTCCACTCAACATACTGACTAGTTATAAAAAAGGACATCTGACAGAGACTGCAGATGTTGAGAACAAACTTGGCAGGATGCTACCAAAGAAAGAAAACAAATGCTGGAATTCTTCACTGAGAAGCTCAGAAGCAATTTTTCACTCACTTGAGCATTTACTAAGCAGTACCAAGGCAGGCACAGGCTAGGCCCTTACAGAGACATACAAGCAATGTGGCACCATCTCTGCCCACAGGGAGTTCTCTCAGAGTCTAGCAGAGAAGATCTATATGTAAAATAACCAAAATGCAAGGTAAAAAAGCCAACAGAAAATAGAGGGCCACCCAAGAAGTAAAAATCAACTGGCAAGGAAGTGGAGCAGAAGACATCATCTTCTCTCTAGGCCTGCAGGGGCCCCCTTACAGGCAGAGAAATGAGTGCCAAGCCACTCACCTGTGGCCGGCTTCCGGAAGCCTCTCAGGAGCGGGGCAGGGTCCCGGGCGACCTCGGCCTGGCCACGAATAGCAGTGCTGCCCAGGGCCAGAGAGCCGCTGCTGCTGCTGCTGGACGGGCTGCCGCTCTCGCCATCGGCGTGGCGGCCCGAGAACCCTGAAGGCACAGCATTCCACCAGTCAAAAGCATCACATGCCGCTCCCACGGCTCTCAGACAAGCTTACTTCTCCCAGCTCTCCCTGAGACGCGGCCAGCAATGCTGCCGGCTTCCATGGCCCGGCCTCAGGCTGTCAGAGATCACTACCTCATGGTCTGGCCTTAAAATATCACGTAAGAATGCCAAACCGCGATCGTAGTTTGCACAGCACTGCACCTTTTACAAAGCACCTGCACACACCTTCATCGAACCCTCATGACCGCCCTGTGAGGCAAAGGGGAGGGCGCCCAGCAGAGCCCAGCACTGGAACCTAGGTCAGGTCTCACCACCACAGCACGCTGCCTGCCAGAGGGGCTCCTGAGTCCACTGGCATGGCACTAGCCAGGTCAGAAACTGCTGCCAGAGGGAGACAGGTCCCCAGGACCTGAGGAAGGAGTATCACAACCACAAGCTTACACATACCTGATGCAGATTCCACGTGGGCCCCGTTTACCTTCAGAGGAGTCAGGACAACTCGAGGCAGCATCACCCCGGTCTTTTTCTTTTGCTTGTTTGCCTATATTCCCACAGGGAATACAGAAAGAGCCCGAGTCACCTGCAGGGCCACAACAGCAGTCCCTCTCGACCACGTCTCCACCGTCTCGTAAAACAGAGTTAGTACTCAACCAGCACAGGCAGGTAATGCCGACAGCAGCAATGATTCACGTCACTGAGCCAGCTGCTGGCCACTGTGCTGAGCATGACCCCAAGCTGAAAAGACTATTGCTCTCCCCATTTTACAGGTAAGGAATCTGTCCAAGGCTAGTGAGTGGTAGGGCCATAATTCAAACTGCTGGCTCCTAAGCTCATGTTCTCCCCACTCTGCTATACTTCTTCCTGGCTGTTCCCATGTTTACCATAAAAACAAACAAAATTATCCATCCATGGTAAGGAGAAAAAAACAAACAGCTCTGCTCTCAGGTCTATTACCCACTTTTCCCATGGCCCACTTCTAAGTGATACTAACAGTGATACTAGGTTTGGACCAAACTGATTTTCTCTACTCTTCAAACACGCACAGTGAACTGCAGGACAGAGTCCTATCCTGTGCCTGGCCTCATGTACCCACCCAGCCTTGTCACCAACTTTCCTCCCTACCTGTGATGAAGCTCTGTAGCTGTCCCTGGGATTGGAAAGAGGCCGACTTTGAGATTCTGTAGAACAGGATGCATTAGAAGACGTTTCATCAAGAGAAACTGGAAGAGAGGGAAATAAAGGTTAGCCCCTAGCAACTGCTTTTGGCTCTCCGCCCATCTTGTCAAAGATACTTACCATCATTTTCACCACTCACAGTGCTGGCTTCATTAGACCCACAGCTCTCCACATCAGCTGTGTCCTCTGGCTCCTCTCCCTCCACTGCAGCTGGATTGCGAGACCACTGCAGGGCATCCTTCTGTGACAGAAAGGCACAACTCAGGTGAGCAAAACCCTACAAATCCTACAAGCACAGCAGTCATTCCTAAATGGCTATTGCTTTTGGAGAAGAGGGATTAGAATGTTGATTAAATTCCTATCCCTTTTAAATTGACCTCTTTCTCACAAAGTTCTTTCATACATATATCAAGAAAGTTAGATATCTAATTTTGCGTCCATTAAACGTTTCTGGGGTGCATCCTATAAGCTACATCATGCTAGTTTCTGGTGGGAGGATGGGGTATAAGGAGGGGAATCAGGGCCCTCCTCTCAAGGAGCTCAAATGAGTGGAGGAGAAAATCATATCTGTAACAATACAAAGCACAGGGATGGAAACATACAGACAGAGCCGTGGCAGCCCAGAAGAGGGAGCATCAAATTCAATGAGTTGGAAGAGAGAGGGCATGGGGTACAGAAAGTGAATAAGGATCAGGGAGGTAAGGTTTGCAAGGAGATGTATTGCTTGAGCTGGGTTTTGAAAGAAGTTAGCTAGTAGGCAAATGGGTTGGCAGTGGGGAGGAAGAAGGGAGTTCTAGGTAATGGGATAAGAACATTCCACTCAAAGGAATTCACAGATTTCAGTAGGTGTGTAGAAAACTGGTTATGTGAGGAAGACAGGGAGAGAGCAAGAGGCCGGTGACAATTACGACGTTCTGCTGAGGGATTAAAACTGTGACTTTTTCTACTGAATAAAACTGAAAAGGAAAAAAATAAGAAAAAAAAAAGATGTGACTGTTTTTAAGTCTCAAAAGGATAACCAGGGGAATGATTTGAGTTTTAGGAATTTCATTCTATTAACCATGGGAAGTCTGGAGGCAGGAGGAAGTTAGAATATGACAGAAATCCAGCAAAAGTGATGAAGATCTAAACTAAACTAAGAGTAGAAACAAGGCTAGAGCATAGAGGAGAGCTCCACTCCAAAGTTCATCTCCTAACAAACACTTCTTCTAGCAGGTTCTTCTGTGGAGTCTCAGGATTAAACTACCTATTCCCAAGGAAAACTTAGGAGCTACTTCGAAACCAGGAGAGGATATGAATGAATATTGGGGGCTGGAGAGAGGAGGAGCAAAGAGAGGCTGAGGTGGGGGTGTCTTCTTTGAATAAAAGTGTGTGGAAAAGAGTAGGTAAAATCATGATTCTGCTGCTTAAAAATATGCCAGAAATTTGTAAGGGAAATCCACAAAACTCTAACTCACCGATTCCATGGGTCCCTTGATCCACTATATAGTATTCCCCCCCTTATCTGTGGTTTCTTTTACATTCCATGATCAACCAGGGTCAGAAAATATTTAATGGAAACTCCAGAGATAACAATCCATACGTTTCAAACTGCACACTGTTCTGAGCAGCAGGATGACATCTCACACCTGGGATGTCAATCATCTCTTTGTCCAGCATATCCCGCCCACTGGTCACTTAGTAGCCATCATGGTTATCCAATCAACTATCATGGTATCACAGCACTTGTGTTCAAGTAACTCTTACTTTACTTAATAATGGCCCCAAAGGCAGGAGTAATGGTGGTGGTACTTCTTGCTCTGCCTAATTTGTATTTTCTTACTGTGCCTAATTTATATCCCCTTACTGTGCCTAACTGGTAAATTAAACTTTATCATAGGTACGTAGGTATGTATATAAGAAAAAACATAGTAATGTACGATTAGGTACGATCCAGGGTTTCAGGCAGCCACTTGGGGTCTTGGAGCATATTTCCCAAGAGGAACTTCTTGGGGGACTACTATATTAAGTCTTCATCAATTTATTTTCAGTAATTTAAGCCAAAATCATGCTGGCTTAAACTAATAGAAAAGAAAATGGCTTTTCATATCTTTATCGCTTTTCCCTACCAGCCATGAATGCTCCTCAGAATCAAAAGCTAAAAGATACTTTTAATATTAATCTTGCAATTATGCTTATTGACTGCCATGTTATTGGAATGATGCACAATTTATTCTCTGAATCACACCGGCAAACTAAGATAAAATACTCATTAACGAAGAAAAGAGACCTACTACATCATCAAAACTGACCCCAAAACTCCAGTTCTGGCAAGAGTGTGGGAAAATCACACATACACTGTTGGTAAGCATGAAAATGGTGTATAAAAAGGTTTATGAGCCAGTGGGAAAGTAAACTGTAAGCAAAAATCTAAAAATGTTATATACTTTTTAACTCAATGCTTCTAAGACGTACACACACAGGGCATGAAAAGCATTAATCCTTTAAAGGAGAAAATCAATCAGTTGAACTACATTAAAATTAAGATCCTCTGTTCAGCAAATGACATCACTAATGAAGTGAAAAGAGCAAACTACCTACAGAGGTGAAGAAGAGATCTGCAACTTACGTTAACTAATAAAGAACTTGTCCCTAGACTACACGAATCACTAAGAAAAAGGCAAGCTAGAAGAAAAAAAGGCAGACATGAACTAGGCATTGCACCAGAGAGGATATCCAAATGGCCAACATTCACATGAGAAGGTATTTAACCTCACTAACAGTAAGGAAGACACAAAACAATGCAAATAAAAACCACAATGAGATATCATCATATCCACAAGAATGGCTAAAATTAAACAATACCAAGTAGTAATAATAAGGATTTGGAACAGGTACACTGAAAATGGATCCTAAACATTTAAGAATGTAGTTTTGGCATTATCTGGTACAGCTGAAGATACAAACATCCTATAACCCAGCAGTATCAATCCCAGGGTTGGATTCCCTAGGGAAGAACATGCATATACACATCAGGAAGCATAGCCAGATGTTCATGGCAGTGTCAATTGTAACTTGGGCTAAAAACAACCAAGGTGCCCATCAGCAGAATCAATACATGGTTTGATCAATGTATTGACTGATACTCAATAAATAGCTATTATACAATAATAAAAAATGAATGAACTACAGCTACTCACAACAGCATAGATGAATGTTAAAAAACAGGCAAAACTAAAGTACAACATTGGGGATGCAAACACAGGTGGGATACACTAAAGAAAAGCAAGAATATAACTTCCATAAGTCAGGATAGTAGTTATGTCTAAGAGATGAAGGGGGTTTTAACTGGGTAGAGGAACTCAAGGGCTCCTGGCTACTGGCCACGTTTGGTATCTTGATCTGTGGCATTTACAAGGATAATTATTTTACAATAATTCATTAAGCTGAACATTCGTGTTCCATGCATTTTATTGTCTTATATTTCCACAATAAGAAAGTTGACAAAAGTAATTACAGTATTTCCATCAAGGAATACTAACAAATAGTCATTTGAAAGAAAGCTGTAGAATACTTAATGACAAGACAAATGATGATGAAGCAAGTGAATTAAGCAGTTAACTTTATACAGGATGATTCCATCGTTTTAAAAAATGAAAATTGTGTGAACGTGTTTGCATAGACAAAAGATGACATAAATATTTATTTCCTAAAGTGTTACCTGACACCACCTCTAAAACTCAGTAAAGTTGAGGCCTTCACTTTCTTTTTGATTTGGGGTATTTTCTACAATTAATGTGTATTGTTTTTGTGATCAAGAAATTAACATTTAAAGAGAAAAATCAGGTTGTTAATGCTTCACCAACAGCTAAGTCAAATTTTCCCCTAGGTCCCAGAGTCTAGGGGAAACCTAGATCTGATTACAAACCTCACTCATTAAACAAACAAAAATACTACCCAATTGTTTGCAACTCAAACAACAACCCAAAATTTCTAAAGGCATACAAATTCAGTAAAGGGCAAACAGAAGAACAAAACTTTTTTAAGAAAACGAAAGCAAGATTTGCAATTCTAATTCTGCATTTTTAAGGATCATTAATCTTTCCATATAAACTTAGAAGTCTGATACCATTAACTTCCCGAACATTAACTCTAGAAGTTTGACAAAAATGAAATAGGCTAAATGAAATCTAATGAAATTACAGGCACCAGAAAATATGCCCAGGACTCGAGATTTCAAAATTTCTCTTACAAGCATATTTTACATGAAGACATTTTAAAAAATATTAATAATGTGTGATCCTTTACTAAAGCCTCAATATTAAAAATGCTGTAAAAGACAATAGCATAATATCTGAATATGAACTGCACTGTAGATGGTAGATTTGCATTAGTGTTAAATAATCCAAGTGTGTTAACTGTACTTGTGTTTATGTAGGAGAATGTCCTTGGGTCAATGTCCTTATGTCCTTTCCCTTACTTTTTAAAATTAAGGTATAATTTACAAAGAGTGAAATGCACAGTATACCATCTGATTAGTTTTGACAAATGCATTGTCAAAATATAGAACATATCCAACACCCCTAAAAGTTCCCCTGTGCCCTCTTCCTAGTCAATCCCCACTCTACACTGCCCCTCCTACCCCACTGAGACAAAGGCTGCTCTGATTCCTATCACTGAAAATTAGTTTTGCTTATTTTTGGTCTCCATGTAAATGGAATCATATAGTATGTACTCCTTTGTGTCTGGCTTCTTCTGCTCAGTCTCATGTTTATGAATCAACTATGTTGCTGTATATACATCAGTAGTTCATTATCTGTTATTACAGAGTATCATTCCTATGCAACCATTTGTTCTTCTATTCTCCTACTGTTGAAGCATGAGTTATTTCCAGATTTGGGCTATTATGAACAAAGCAACTCTGACCATTCCTGGATACAGCTTTTTATCAACATATTTTCTTTTTTCATGGGTAAATACCTAGAAGTAGAACTGCTGGGTATAGGATGGATGAATGATTAAAAAAAAAAAAAGGTGCCAAAGTTTTACACTCCCAATAGTACTACATGAGAGTTCCAGATGCTGCTCCATATCCTCACCAACATTCGGTGTTATCAATCTTATTTTAGCCATTCTAACGCAGTGAGTACCTTACTGTGGTTAATTTTCATTTTCATGATGACTAAAGACATCAAACGCATTTTTATGTGCTTACGGGTCATTATCCTATCCTCTTTTTAGAGGCTGTCTGTTCAAGTGTTT